CGGAGTTGCGACAACCCAGGTCTCCCGGCCATCAGCAGTCCGTGACGTCGGAGATGCTACTGCAGCGACAGCAGTCAGAACCGGCAGTTGGTCAGCATCACCATCCTCCCCCGCCTCCTGCTTCTGCGCAACAGCAACAGGCCTACGGTCAACCGGTGGGTACGCCCATCCACCACTTTCCCAACCAGTACACTGGCTCTCAGCCCGCTTTCAGTGCGAACGATTTGGCCCAGGAGACAAATAAGGTGCCCACCTCCTTCTGCCTACCCAGTTTATGTTCTTATCATCTTCCGCCAATGGCGGTGAACGCGACTGATGTAAACCCATATTTTTTGGGAATTCTGAGTACGGATGGGACCCAAACAGCCACTCAGATGGCTTCTTCGGGGCTGTCTCCTCTAGCGCTTTGGCTCAGTAGTCTAAACACAAGGTAGTGGTGGCAAGGGAACTCATTTAGTGGCAATTTACCGTCGGTATGTCACAGTGCCGTCGTCAGGCATTGCGACATTTTATAAGATTTTGGCGTTGGCGAAGGGAATTGACTGAACTGTCCAAGTCTGCTGCCATGGATCGTCACTCGTGGAGAGGTGCCACCCGGGACACAATTGAGGCCGACTAGATCAGGCATGACCGCAGCCGTAACAAATACAAGTAAGCACACCCGTATTCGTCAAACGGACCCGCTACTGCAGTGGAATTTTGTCAAAGTGTGATGGTGGACAGTAGTGAGCTCCTGAAACCGCAAGTCAAAGGACACAAAGTTGGTGTTTGCTTACTTGCAATTGATATGGCTGTGATCATGTCTGATCTAGCCGACCTCCGTGATGTCACGGACGGTACTTCTCCACGCGTGACGAATAGCTAGTTGGTGGGCCAGCCCTTACTATGCGGTGGTCATAAAAGCGACCCAGAGACCAACGACAGCAACTGTTCAGCTGTGATGAGAGTGAGCACTTGTCGTTGTAAGTCAGAGCGCGAGGTCGTGAACGGTGGTTGTGGAAATAGCTCTGCTGACTTAACGTGTCGGCTATTTAGGAGCCGGCCGTTGATTCTACAAACGATGTGGATTACAGGGCGCCCTTCACAGTAGGTGCCCGTCAAAATGGCAGATAACAAGAGACAAGAACGCAATAGTCACCACGAATTCTTCCGAGACTTCCACGTTGTGTTTGCGACGCGTGCCACTATTCCGTCGTGCAGTTGGCGAATCGTTTGAGCCATCTCATGCGCTTAAGATTGCGACAACAAAAAAGTCGAAGGAGTAGGCTACTGTTTACTCTCCGTTTGAGTAGAACTAAGTTCTAAAAAGCATAGTCCTTAATGCTTAGCAAACTGGCTTTTAGGTCATGAGATCATGAGAATGAGAGTTCATTGATTCTGCGTGGTGAAAACTGCAACCTCGGCACTTAGTTACTGAGAGTTTCCCTTCATTTTGAAAGTAAGAGAGGAACGGGGGCGTAAGTAATTGCGAATAAATGTTTTCGATCAACCATTTTGCCCTGTTGATGGCAAGAAGTCCATATAATGAAATCTGTTGGCAAGTGAACACCTAAAATATCTAACATTTTTTATTTTTCGGTTGATGCTGAGGCATTCTGGGGCCGTAGCAGGTTGCAGATCTATTTAAACATGTACCACAATTCTAACGATCACCACGCCAAGTTCAAATAAACACTCCTTTTTAAATTGAAACCGAATCCCGGAATTCGAATTATCGTTTTGTAATTTACCTCACCTGCTCTTTCACATGGCCTCCGACGAGCTAATTCGGTTCTCTGCACTGACCGTTAGACTGAAACTTCTCTCTTTTTTTTGCCTCTTGGCCATCCCTCACTAACGTCATGTCCGAATGAACAAAGTCGAGTTTTTTTGGCATTGTCGGTCCGACACTTCGACCGTCGGTTCCAACGAGGCACACCGTGTGCTCCACAGCGTGGTGGTGTATGGACGGCGACTTATGCGTGGGTTAGTTTTAAGTGATAGTAGACTTGTGATACATCCACCACACTCTCCCCTCAGCCGCCCGAGCCCGGTGTCAAGAAAGAGTCAAGAAGACTGGAGGCGAAATCAGGTGCAGGTGGCCGGAGCCGCCATGCGTGACCCAGACCCCACACAGTGGCAGTGTCATCAAGATTACGGCCAGTTGGTGCCTGAGTCTGTACCTATTCTTGCCACCAACGCCAAATGGAAGCGTTGGCGCGAATCCCAGCTCACACAGCCTGGGCCTCCGTGCTGCACACCCCCTATACACCACCTGGTT